ACCATTAGCTGAATGTACTATCAATAAAATCCTGAGTCGCAAGTACTCACCTTAATATTTAAAAAAAAAAAAAAAAAGAATTGTAGTCTTTAGTACCAGAATAAAGAATAATAGTATAATAATGTTTGGGTTTGTGAATATTTGCTAAATCATCAAGTATAGTGAATGTAATTAGAACATGCTTGACCTTATACCCTATATTACACTTATTACCTGTAATTCTAATACTAATATTTGGAAAGTTAAGAATTTGTTTTTCAATTAATTTTGGCATTATAAATTTGAGAATATTAATAATGCTTCTATATCCACATTTTCTAATTAATTGAATAACATTTTTTACAGTATCTGTTTTAGTAATATCAGGTTCTTCAATTGAATCTACATGAGCTTGTGTCTGTATATCAATTACAGATATTGGAACTACTTTAGCTATATCTTGCGTAATTTGTTTTTTTGTTTTAAAAATTGACCATACTCAAGGTAAATGAGATTCAATTGCTGCAAGATGACCATAAGTATCATGAGAAATATAACCATCATCTTGTATTCGACAAACTGATTCTTGTTTTTGTTTTAATCTTTTTGGATCTTTAGCACTATAGTCAACTTTATATATATGCTTTTTTACTGAATATCGAATTAATTCTAATACAGATTTATCATTTAAATGATAAAATTAATTTGTACAAGTTTGAAAATTTGTGTGTATTGTTTTAGAAAAGTTAATAGCATGTTTGGTAAGTGCAGTGTTTGTAAGTGCCTCTACTGGCTTCAATGTTCTGGCTTGCTTTAGTCTTATTCAATTATAACTAACTTTTTTTAATTATAAACTAAATAAAAGAATTCCAGAAGTTGCTGAGCTTTTATTAGATGTAATTCACTATATAATATAAATTCTTAATATTGTTACAGGGTTGTAGCCTTCTTGGTACAATATAACCAAGTAACAAGGTTACCTGGTACAGTGATTGACTATTGCAAATATATATGGGGTGGAGGTGTAGTAGTTCACTTTACTACATAGCAGCAGGCAAACGGTTCGAG